AGCAAATTATTGGCGGTCGCAGCAGGAGCAGCAGCGGCTTGGTGGTCTTCCTCGGCCACGAGAGAGTGGTGCTTCACAGGGCGGCGAAGGAACATCGTCGGGTGCAGGAGGATCTGGTGCAGCAGCAGCAGAAGCAGCAGCAGAAGCAGCAGCAGAAGCAGCAGCAGAAGCAGCAGCAGCAGCAGCAGAAGCAGCAGAAGCAGAAGGTGCAGCATCCGGACCCGAGGGGGTTTCGGATATGGCTGCTGAAGAAGCAGGCCCTTCAGGAGGAGGAGGAGCAGCAGCAGCAGCAGAAACAACATCAGAAGGCTTAACAGTGCAAGAGTTGATGTTGAAGCACCCTTTTGTAAGGCTTCCTGTGCTGAGCGAGGAGGCCAGACAAGCAGGCTTTAAACTAGACGGAAAAACCCCACAGTGTGGGGTTCGTCAGGTGTCGCCATTGGTATTACAAGCACAATCGTTACTATGGTTGGAGGTACTGTCGGTGCAAGCAGCGCAGCAATTAAAATCTGTAGCAGAGAGACTAGGGAAACATTTAGTAGAATATCAAGCAGATAGCGTTCAGGGCAACAGCCCTTCGCTTGTTATTCCTCGCCTAGGGATCCGTTTTTTGGTATTTGATGTTATTGTCGCTACTATGCAAATCTTTGGCCAGTCAGCAGAGTGTGATTGGTTTAGAGTTATTGTGGAAGCTGTGCCGCACGATTATTATCCCTTACGAGATATGCATCTTTCTTCTTCTCAAACAATATTTAATTGCTTAACTCTTAAGCAAGCGCAGCATGCAATGAATTTACTTAAAAGGGGTGTACGCCCCAGTCCAGCGCTGCTAATCACTTTGAAGAGAAAACTCCTTTGTAGTTCATATACACACAGATCCTTCCTCACTTCTGCGTATGATGCATGGAGAAACGCGTTCAGAGATTACAATCGACGCCACCAACATCTTCAGCAAGCATTGCAAGAGGCAATGGGGGCGGGAGAAACTGAAGAGGCGTGGATGGCAGAGCTCAGAGGGATGTCTGGAGGAGGAGGAGCAGCACAAGACCCAAATTTCGTTAGTGATGTATTTAGTGGCATGGGTTCTCGTAGAGGACGAGGCGGCTACAGGCGGGGGCGGCGGGACGAGTATGGTGATGATGATGATGATGATGATGATTATGATTATGATTATGATGATGATGATGATGATGATGATGATGATGATGATGATGATGATGATGATGAGCAGCAGCAGCAGCAGCAAGAGCCAGAACAGCAAGAGCAACCACATACCCAACGACGACGACAGCGTGGAAGCAGGGGATCACAGGGGGAGGAGCAGCAGCACCAGCCAGAGCAACAGCAGCAGCGGCAGGAGCAGGAGCAGCAGCACCAGGAGCACCGGCCAGAGCAGCAGCAGCAGGAGCAGCGGCAGCAGCACCATCCGCATCAGCAGCACCATCCGCATCAGCAACACCATCCGCATCAGCAGCAGCAGCAGCGCGAGCATCAGCAGCTGCGAGATCAGCACCCTTACCACCCCCAGGAACAACAGCACGGGCATCAACACCAGCAAGAGCAGCAGCAGCAACAACACCAGCACCACCACGGCCACCAGCACCAGCATCCGCATCAGCACCATCCAGGACAGCAGCAGCACCACCACCACCACTATTATCAGCAGCAGCAACACCACCACCAGCACCAGCTATGGCAAGAGCATCAGCAGCAGCATCATCAACAGCAACAGCAGTATCCGCAATGGCAAGAGAGTCAGCATCAACTGCCTCAGCACCAGTACGAGCCTCAGCAGCAACATCAACATGGCATGATGCAACACCATATGGGGGCGCACGGGCACACGCGGCACGAACAGTTTTTCCAACTGCAGCACGAATATCAATCGCAGGGGCAGAGTATGATGCACACGCAACGCCTCCTGCAAACGGAATACCGAGAGCACCACCACCAGCAGCAGCAGCAGCACCAGCAGCAGCAGCACCAGCAGCACCAGCATGCGTTCAGGTGGGGAGCGTACTTCGGTGGTGGTGGGAGAGAGGCGCCGCCGCACCCCCATCACGGGGAAAGCAACCCTAGTGAGGAAGAGGATGATGATGAGGGTGCTGATGCTCACGCACAAGCGGATTCGGAGTAATAAGAATAGGGAGATGAAGTGGAACAGCAGGACCAGCTGATGATGATGCTGCAGGATCTGCTGCTGCTGCAGCTGCTGCTGCTTCTTATTTGCTTTGTTGCAAATACGCTATAATCGGCGACAGGGGTAGCAGCAGCGACGGAAGCAGCAACATGAACCGGGCGAGGAATAATAGCAGCTCCTCCAGCGGGGAGCAGCAGCTGCTGCTGCAGCAGCTGCTGCTGTAGAAGATAATCGGCGCTGCCCTCCAATGTTGCTCTGAGGTCCTCACACGACGGGCATTCTTATCCTTTTTACTACAAGTTATATCGAAGTTGATGCATTTGTTGTTTCTTTTTATTGTTTTGTGGTAATACCGTCTAAGGCAGTGTATGACGCGAGCATTTTATTCTCAGTGCATTGGATATGTATGCGTTCATAGATATAGTATATCTACACATATACATATACATATATTTATATATGCATGCATATATGCATATATATATCTCCTTTGCATATGCAGGTTTGTATGGATGTATCTGTGCGCACCTCGATACAGAAAAAGGTTTTAATTAGGTTGCTGCAGTTTGTTTAGTTGAGGCATGGTTGTTTATTGCTGTAGCATTTTATTGTCTCTGGCGCCTTTTATGCCGACCTACATGGTATTGAGGAATGGCAATATGCACATATATATACATTGCTCTTAGTCGTGTTCAACTTGTATATGCATGCGGGTTCATACATTCTTATCAATGAAGTGCATGTGAGGACATCATTGGTCTCCCTGCCAGCGTAAATATGTTTATTTTGCAGTATACACCATGAACATGATGAAGCAGAGAGGAAAGGAGTTAAGAGAGAGAGGCCTTTCCTTTATGTTGTTCCTAAGCTGTAGACATAAGGCAGCATAAACAACCCCTGTACAACAGGGAGGAAGAAAACACCTGTTCTTCAGTCGGGGAGGCTCAGCACATTGCAAAGAACTTGATGAGAACCCCTTTTGTGTTATGTTTTAAATGACAGTATAGGAGCTGCCTGTTTATATATATTGATCTACATGCATGTATGTATGGATGTATGGATGCATGAATATATTTATACATGTATATATATGCGTATATACATGTATATATATATATATATATACATGTACGTGTATGTATGCATATTTGCATTTGTTTACATATTAA